TGACCAACGCGATAAGATAACGGTTTCCGTTGGCGAATCGCGGTCGAGCGAAAGGAAAGACTGAAAACATCAAGATTAAAATGTATAGCACAATCTAATATGCAGTAGCTGCTTGGTCACTGCAATCGTCGTCTGTGGGACGAGCTCGGACGGCTTTCGGATTCCCAAAGGCAGTCGCCCGATTAGGATGGTGATGGGATCACATCAGCGTGACCTGCGAGCTATAAAAGGCGCAATTTTCGCTCAGAACTACATCCTTCCTCCCTCCACCTTCTCCGGTCGTTTCAATGGTGAGAACCCTTCCTATCCCTCTTTCAATGACGAGTTTGTATTCTACAACCATTGGCACCTCTTAGTAGACTTGTACCACGCCAGCAGGTTTACCTGTGTGGTACAGGGAAGACATAACCGACTTGCTGAGATTTCCTTTTTCTTCCTTTCGTTCCACCTTTGCGATCTGTTACTGACTAGATTTCTGTTTTCAGATGATCTGTATTCGTCGTTTTACTATTCTTTACAATTATGTACAAGCTCTTGAATATATCTGCTGCGCCTTCCTTTGCACCATAAGGACCCATGTTATTTCTGCTTTCAGTTGCGGGTTCCGTAATTCAATGCAGCTTCCTAGCACAAGCCTCGTCGGCGAATATACCTGCTACGCTTTACCTCCCGCTTCAGAGCGAAATCAAGAAGAAGATAAACGGGCACACCAGGAACGACTGCCAGATCGCCCAAGGCAGAGGCTATTGGCTGCTGGCTTCGGGCTTGTGCTTACAACCTATGTGCTTCCAATCCTGCGTTCCATTGTCTTACTATTTACAGCTTGCTGCTAGCACTACGAGCCTCGTTGACGAATATACCTGCTGCACCCATTCCGCTTCCAATGCACATGCTAGTGCATAATAAGGACCCATTCCTTCTCTTCAGCTCTGCAAGACCAGTAACCACTTGTCGGACACCGGCTAGAAATTTTGTGGTTAGCTCAAGCTAGCAGCTGTGCAAAAAATGCGTACTCATTCCGAGAGGGTGAGAGATCGCAATGGCACCGCCGCTGGAGAGAACGTCAGTTCGCGCGGAAGGGCAGATATGCAACGTACTTGGGGTTAATCCTCTCAATTGGGATGTCCAGTTGTTCGACACAGTATGCGAATTGCGACGCGAACGCCTCGTTAATCTGCAAACATTCAAGCTAAACACTATACGGGTGCAAATGAAACGAACCTCGTAAACATCAATGTCCTCCTTCTTCAATCCGACCTGCTCAAGGACCTTCGGGATGGCGTAAATGGGAGAAATCCCCATATACTTCGGCTCGACACCTTGGTGCTCGTCAATAACCGAAGGCGACAGGAGGGAAAAACATACCGACGACCGAACTGGCAACCCACTTGCCTAGGATCTCCATTCCCTCCCGTTCGGCCCTCTCTCGGGTGGTCAAAATACAAATACCCGCACCGTCACCGACACCGCTTGCGTTTCCCGCGGTAGTAGAGGCTTCGCCCCAATTGGGAAACACGGGTTTGAGCGCGGAGAGCGACTCCATCGTGACACCGGGGCGGATGGTGTCGTCTACAGAGACGACAGCACCCTTGAGCTCGATGGGAATGATTTCGTCGGCGAAAATCCCCTTCGCTACCGACTGTGCCGAGGTCAATCATAAGGAACCAACACTGCGCAGAGACGTACATCATTGGCCCGTGTGTGCGAGATGAGCGCGTATTTATCTTGGGTTTCGCGTGAAACTTTGTAGGTTTCGGCCACCATCTCGGACGTCCACCCCATTGGCTGTAAAATTATCAGGCAATGTCATGCCGTGTTTCGAGGGGAATCCTTACCTGAATACAGTCGTGGGCTTCCTCGTTTTTGTCCACTGTTTCGCAAATTTCCGGGGTTGGGCGTGCACTAAACCAAGGATGAAGGCGCCGTTGAAGCAGCGAAAGGACAGACGAACTGCATGGTCATGCTGTCGACACCAATTGCAATACCAATGGACGTCTCGCCGGCCTGAATGGCGTGCGCAATATTGCGGATAGCCATTAGGCCGGAGGAGCACAGACGGTTCACAGTCGAGATCGGGACGTGGTTCGGAATGCCGGCTGCTAATGCGGCTGATCTGGAGACGTAGAGCGGAGAAGGCGGGTGACATGTTCCTGGCCGGAGCTGAGAAAACGACCTGGAGTAAGCTACGAGCTAGACACACCGACACAGATATCGTCGATTTTGGATGGGTCGAGCTTTGTCTTTTCCAGAGTCGCCTGGCAGAGATTGGTCGAAATTTACGCGTGCATGCGCAAGGCGGTTACCTTGAACAAGGCGTGCAGGAGCTCGTCGACGGTGGTGTCCTTTAGTTGGCCCTTCTTCGCGCGACCGATGGCGGTACGCTTGGCGAAAGTGATGACCACATCCTCTGGGTTCTTCTGGAGAATAGCTGCGAGACCGCGGGGGGGAAGGGTGCTGGCGGAACGCATGAAGGGCGCGCGAGAGATGAGTTTTGCGGGGAACATGGTCGGTGGGAGCCGGGGAGGCATATACCGGGTATTGATAGGAAGAGAAGCGCGGGAGGGCGTTTCTCCGCTCACGTGTGCGAGGATTTATTGACGGAGACTCAGCCTCAGACTGGCGGGCGGCGGGCACACCAAATATCCTACTAATACAATGCGTAGCAATATTCTAAAGCACACACATCTCGCCTCGACGCGACTCGTCGACCCTTCGTCCAAAACGCGGTTAAAAACATGGTTTTCTTCGTCTTTTATGGCGGATTTGATTTTTGTTGGGTTTGTTTCCACATTCTGGTCAAGAATGAATAGCAGTTGCTGCAAAGATTGTGTGCCAGCTTGGGGGCGCCACATCCAGGACAATTAACAATATCTGCAGCGCGCGCATGAGTCCCAATGCAAATCTAACAAGAGTTTCGAGACGGACTTTGCTTGTCCTTAAGGCCCTTGTTCGCCTCCCGCATGGATTTCCGCGAGTGCGAAGTCTTGCTCTTGGGCACGGCGAGCACGAATGGTGGGAAGAGCTCGAGCAGGGATTGGAGGGAGGGGAATGCCCATGTGCGGGATGCTGCGAGGAAGGCGGGGACGGCTGCGAATGCGAACGGGGTGGCCAACGATGCCGGTCGTGTCGTCCTGGCGAATAGCGAGAGCGCGCCGTGGACGGCCAGCGCTGCCATCGTAGTAGAAAATGCGAAAGCACAAGTAATTCAAACTCCGATCGCGACCACAACCATGTTGCGCCTGACCCGCCCGCTGTTCCAGGCGCTGAGGTCCACGACCGGCCTCACGGGCCTCGCAGTGCACCCCAACCCCCTCCCCGTTCTCGCCACTACATACGAGGCCACCCTCGAGCACCTCACCCGCATCCCCGCGACATCTGTCTACAGACAAGCAGCCGAGGCCCTCGTACAAAAGAAACTCGACATTGTCAAGGCCGCGAACACAGACATTGCAGCCGTAGAGAAGGGCTTGGGCGAGGGTATCATCGAGGAGTCGCTGCTTATTGCCGTAGACGAGCTCAGACTCAGTGCTGAGATGCTTGAGTGGAAGGCGTGAGTCGCGTCTCAATTCTTTGCACGCCATTCATTGAGTTTTGCTAGTTGGGAACCGCTCGCAGAGAAACCGGCACCTGGCCAGTGGGAATATGTCTCGTAACGTTGCGATGAATGTAATTCTGCATCTGTATATCGCGCGCGGGCAGCTCGCTTTCGGAATCCCAGATCCCGGTTCAGCGAGTTGTATTGACCGACCGACTCGCATGTATGGCCGGGATTATTGTGTGATTAACTCGCCGTTGTATTGGACTACAGACCCAACATACGCGTCTTAGAATTGATCTGGCCAAAGTACCCTTCCGCCCTGCCTCCAAGGTTTTCCTCTTCTGGCCGGGGCTCCTCTTCGAGCGCTGACGTCCTTCGTTTCCCGGTCCTAGCCCCGCGGTCTTTGCCCAGATGATTTCCTTATGCGGGTCACTGCATAACCTCCACGCCAGCAGCTTGAGAACATAGCTGCATGCCGGCGTTAAAGTTTACGCGATACATTCGAAGAGTGCAGTTCCGCCATCGTCGCTTTGTTTGGCCCCCGATCTCTACTCGTACAACCTGCATTGACTAGGTCAAATGGAAGATGCGCGGACCAAATGCAAGCCATTCCACTCATTATGATCCTCTAACTCACGCGCACATTGGCGAATAGTGAATTACGGGGCCTGTGGATGAAATTTATTCTGAGGGCACATAGCGGCATCTAGTGGGAAGTGAGAAACCGTCTGGTCTCCCGTGGAACGGGACATTGGGGGTAACGTTTACTACCATGTCATTCAATATGCTCGAGGAAGACTACTAGTGCAGATGCCTCACCCTACAACCTCCCTACCTAATCCTGGCTCGGACGACTTAATCAAAGGATTTCGAAGTTCTGCTCGGTCGAAGTTGGGTTGACAAAAACTCCGGAGTTAAGTTTGGATTAAATTCGTGGTGGATCCCAATGATTCCCAAATGCAGCAACATAACATGCCAGCTTGAGAGTTGCGATACACGGTGGTGAGAATATGGGGCACAGTTTCAAGGCCAGTTTTAATACTAGTCGACAGCAATCTCGATGCCAGGACAGTTACAGAAGACATCCGGCATAAACGGCGAGAAGGCTCACATGCATATCCGCATATACGCTTCGAGAGTCGAGAGGCGAGAGTATGATCTAGTACGAGAGGAAGCTACGACACTGAGATAAATCCGATGAAGGTCATGGTTTGTTCAACTTTGACTCAGTCGCGCTAGTCGGCGGGTTAATTTCCTTTTTCAGCACCCACAAGGGGCGTACTACTGGTAGTCTCAGGCCCACGAACAGTTTCCTGAGTCCCTCAATGAGTCAATACCAACTCAGTAGTAAGTACACAAAAGCGGAGATATTGCACATGTGTCGCACGTGCAAAAAATCCGGACGTTCTTAATCGACTCCTCTCGGTCCTCTAGGGTCCTTTACCTTCTAGGCTTCGGAAATGGCACTATGGCCGAGTGGTTAAGGCGACAGATTTGAATTTAGAACCCTGGTTCTTGCATTATCTGTTGGGATCTCCCGCGCAGGTTCGAACCCTGCTGGTGTCGCTTTTTGCCTTACCAGTCATTTCAGCCCTAATCTGAATCTCTCAAACGCTTTCCCCAAAGATTTCGCTCCTGCTGAAGTCGAGGACAATTTTTTAGGGCCCAGGAGGCGAGTTATACCCGAATCAATGCCCCTCACAGGTTTGAACCATACTGGTGTCCACTTTGTTATTTATTCTTTCTCTGGCTCTCCCACTGACCATCTGAGGATTTTAATCTCTTCCCCGAAGATTCCATCCTGGTGAAGTCGAGGACATTTTTTTTAGGGCCTAGGAGGTGAGTTATACCTAAATCAGTGCCCCACGCAGGTTCGAACCCTGCTACCTCTTCCTTGGAAGATTCCGCCCCTAGGAGAAGGCCTCTTCACTTCTAAATTAGCCGGCGGTATTTATTGGAAGCCCGGGGGACTTATCCGCAATTCTCTCTATCGTTGGTGTCTATTTATTATCTCTGTTTGCACAATCCCGCTATAAATGTCGAGGGGGGAGCGGAGAAAGACGAAAACATGCACTAGGACCGAAAGGGGGGGAGGGGACTGTGCGAAATTCGGGACATGGGGCTCACCCCGGGTACATTGATGGACCAGGAATAAATCGAATGTTTTGTGATTGGTGTACAGCATATGCAAGCCATCAATGTCCCATCTTTACAAGTTTCTGACTGATTCAATTAAACCGTCCTCGGCATACAGCAGCTCGTAATTAATGCAAAATGTGTCTGATGAATGAGAACTTCCCATTTGGGATGGAAGCGGTTGTTTGTTTGGCTCTTGATGTGGCCTGATCGGGAACGTCTTGCACCTAGTCATGTTGTTTATTCCGCTACGGGGCTGTACGCTAACTCACTGGTATCCGCGAAGACTCAGATCATCTTGGAGGTGGTTCAACGCGGTTTCACGGCGGTCCCGCTACTGTACGCCTTGCAACAGCTTGCGGCATTCAAGTCGCTCATTAGGATGTTTGATTTGAATCCGCGCTGATTCATCCTCTTTGGGTCGTTGATGCACGGTGAATACAGGGGGCTCCTCGAGAATCATTTGCAACTTGCTTTTGGGGCTGAACACAACATCTCTTATCATATGGAAGAGCCTGCTAGCGCTCCGGGCATCTTAGCCAGCAGATAGCTTGCGCCGTCAACCGATTATTTCTCTCTTCCTGATAGCGCTCCTACTGCACCCCACTTCTTTGAAATGACTCTACTGGTGCTCAATTCTCATTCGCAAGATTTAAAGTTCCACATCTACTCGGCTACCCCACTTTCAACTCCGCATGCAGTCGTTCTTTTCAATTTAAATGCAGTAAATTAAATGTAAGAAAGCAATACTATCGACACCTCGCATAATTTTCCTTCTCTATCCTCGGTGTTCCTCATTGCAGATTCCTGCTCCATCCGTGGAGTTCCACTGGGGCACACGCACAAAATCCCTGTTTGCGTAGACACTGGTCCATGACACTAGTTCCTTACTTGTTCCAAAGTGAATATGCCTTGTCCTATTTCCTTCTTGAACCTACCAGTTGCCAAGGTTGACATTTTCCATCCCCCATTCATCGATCCGTGTATGATAAAGTAATAAAATACGCTGGGCTTCATGCACTTTTTCTGGTAAAACATTTCTTTCGTCGCATATATATATGTAGCCAGACCATTAAACTCGACAAGCGCTAGTTCAACGGTTAGTCACGTGTCTATTGGTCTTCCCGATTCGGATTTGACTATTCTCCGCATGGACTCTTTAATACCCTTCACGACGTCGGGGTCGCTGGTGGATTGTGTGGACAGTACGTCTGCCAAATCAACTCCCCATCTCTGTCCTGAGCCATTCCCGCTACCCCTCTCCCTCGGTGTCCGCCCTTGACTAGGGAAGATGCTCGTGGTCCTGCGCGACGGACGAAAACTGCACGGCGTCCTGCGGTCCTACGACCAGTTCGGTACACGCCGCGCCCCCTCCCGTCCTGTCCCCCTGGCTCACCACCTGCATGCGCTCCAGCCAACCTCGTGCTCGAGGACACCGTGGAACGCATCTACCACGGCAACGCGTTTGCGGAGAACTGGCACGGGCTGTTTCTCATTCGCGGGGAGAACGTCGTGCTGCTCGGAGAAATTGCGCGTTCCGCCGCTCCACTATACTCGTGCGATATCGACTGACGTGACGCGCGTACAGGACCTCGATCTCGAGGACGAAATACCCCTGCGCCGGCAGGTGGACTACGCCACGCTCGAGCCGTATCACAAGAACGACGTTGAGATGAAAAAACAACGAGAAGAAGCAAAGGCACAAATCCTGTACGAGAAGAAGGGATTCTGCAAGGAGGGCGGCGAAGGGGATGGCTATTGATGACAGGCAGCGTGGAGGGGATACTAATATGCCCTGGCCGATGGGGAGTTGGTCGAGAAGCGACTATAGGCAGATTCATTACGCCTCGCAGTATCGCGGTCAGATACGATTTGTACGTTGTAACACTGAGAGAAACTCTGGGGCACAGTTTAGAGATCGAGTATTATTTCGTCGGGGATGAAAATCAATGCTACAGAACAAGATGCGGATACACATTGGAAGCGAGTTCAACGGAAAGCAAAACGAGATGCAAAAACGAAATAGAAATACATGCGGAATCATGACGGGTTCTTTCTCTTCTTGCCCTTCTTGCTATCCCCGTTCGTCTTCCCTTTCGAGTTGCCATTGACGAGCTTGGAGGATTTAAGGGGGGCGGCGGTAGAAGGGTCGATACAAGAGCGATTGAATGGTTCAACAAGGTCGTCGATGCGCTTTCGAAGTTCGCGTTCCCGCGTGGTGAGCCTGAACAGAGCCTCCTCCTTCTTGTCCTTCTCCTTTGCGACGTCCCTGGATCGAATCGTCTGCCAACTGCCCGATATTAGCAAACCCCCTGGCGCGTAGAACCGAAAAAACGTACCCAGCATGGCGCTGGCAGTGCCCGCTCTCAAGGCACCACCACTCCTCCGCATCAACCTGCATCCCGCCCTCCTTCGCGCCCTCCTCATAGCTCTCCAAAACGCCCGCCCCGAAATCAGCCCACTCGTCCTCGCCAAAACAGAGCCGCTGGTCCCACCCGCACTGCCCCACCTGCTCCGCGCGCTCGCTCGCCAGCTCCAGCAGCCTCTCCCTCCAAAACACAATCTCCATCCCCTCCTTCAGGTCCTCCCGCAGCGTCACGACCTCGTCCAGCACCGCGTTCAAGCTCGCGACCTCGCGCTCAACCCGGCCCATCTTAGGCGGCTTGACGCGCGGGGTCACAGCAGGCACGGGGGCGTCCGTGTTCTCCTTCGTCGCCCCGACGACCTCCTCATGGACGATCACGACCGCCTCCCGCTTCTGCGCGTCCTTCACGCTGTCCCACAGCAGCTCCGTCTTGCCCCCGTTCTTCTTGAACGTCTCGATCCGCTCCGAAATGTTGTTCAGCCCGCACTCTGGCGAGCAATACTTGGAAAAGGCACCTTGCGCCGGTTTGTGGCACGCTTTCGGCGAGTCGGGCTCGGGGTGGTCCAGTCCGTAGCGGCAGCGCGGTTTGTACGTAGTCTTGAGCGAAAGAGTGGGGTTTTCTGTACGCCGTTAAGTGAAAAACCCAACGTACACTAATCGGCGGGCGTACTCTCAATGCAAAGTGGGCAAAAAAACTGATCGACCAGATCGACGACGAGATCTGGCATGTCGACGCATTGGGTGTGATACCACTCGTCGCACCTTCACCGCGGGTCAGTACAACGTGCGCAAAGCTAAAGAAAGCGACAACCACGCACTTGTCGCAAGCAATCATGAACCGGTCCTCGTCATATTTGGTCTTGCACACGCAATACAGCTTGTCGTCCTGGGCCGCCGCCACGAGCGCGTCCTCGTCCTCGTCCTCGGGTTTCTCCGAGCCCTCTGGGCCGACGGAACCGCCGGGCATGACGGAGGTGGACCGAGAGCGGGACGCCGAGGCGGCCGCCGAGCCGCTTTTCCGGGATATGGCGGACGGGGCTTTGGCCTTTGCGGCGCCGGCAACAGCCCCATCCGAGGGTTTGGCTTTCGGTTTGGGCGCCGGTCGCGCGCGCGGTTTGGCTGCAGTCGCCGCTTTGGGTTTCGGCGCGGGCTGGGAACAATGAGATTAGGGTTTGTGGTGGGCAGATGCAAGCGACACGTACCTTTGTGGCCTCCTTCTTCTTCTGTGGCATCGCACCCTCTTTGTTCTTGCCTTGGCCGGTGGCGGTGGATGCGGGCGGGGGCATCGACCCGCGTTCGGACGGGGGGAGCATGGAGGACGCGCGCGCGGGGGAGAAGAAGGATGGTGGCGACGCAGCTGAAACCATTGGCGATCCATGGCGCGACTCGGACTCTGTGGCACTCTGCAGTCGCAGCGCAGGCTTGCCACTCGAGGGCACGCGGCTTATACCTGGCGGACCAGTGACGGAGCGCGAGCGCGGCTGATCATCAACCAGGCTGAGCAGCTCATCCTCGACATCGACCTCCATCAGGCCCTCGCCACCCTCCTTGACGAGCTCCGAAACCGCCCTGTCCACGTCCATCTCGTCGTCCGGTGGCTCGCTCTTGCTCGCCGGGGGGACATGAACAGAAGCAAGTTCCTCCTCAAGGGCGACGGCAGCCTCGGGCATGGTGGCGGGTACCAAGGGGGAAATGTCCCTCTTTGTATGAGGCGGGACAAACACGTGGGTCATCGGCGTCGTGAGCAAAGGAGAAAGGGGCACTGGCGGCTCGGGTTTCCGGCGTGATTGGGCGTCGGGAGAAGGATCGGCAAAATGCTCCAACAACCACTCGTGCGCATCCTCTTCCTTGAGCTGTCGCGGCGGCTGGGCCGGCTGAGGGCGCCTTTGCGGGGGGCCATGCCCGCGGACTTCTTGGGGTGGTTCCGGGCGTCGACTGGGGCCCGCGACTGGCGTGTAATCAAGGGGACGGAGGGGATGGGGCTGCTGCCCTTGGGAGTGGGATTTCTTGTGTTTTCTCTCCTCCACGGGGGGGTACTCCTCCCTTGGTCGCTCGGGGACATGGA